CGTCTAAAATATTGGTGCTTAAGCATGCTTGTCTAGCCTAATTAAAAAAAAAAAATTTGTAATTATATTCATCTTTGAATATCCTATTAATATTAAAATTGTTTTGTTTATATTACGCTATGCGAATTTATATTTAAAACAAATAAGTAAGAAGTGGCCAGATTTTGGTCAGTTTGCCCTAAAGCACGTTTCGAACCTGAATCTCCTGCTTATAAAGCAAGCGTTCTAACCACTGCGCCATTGCCGCACATTTTTTGCTATGTTTTTGTTGAAAAAAGCAGTGGCTTTTATCAGATCTTTTCTTTCCTGGTGAATAAAAACCAGGCTGAAAAGAGTTAAAGGGTTGTCCACGCGCCACGCCCGTAACTAAATTCATGTAAAAAAAAGTAACTTTGTTCACGTCAACTTGTCTTGACCTTCCCCCCCCCCCTACCCTTTTCAACAATTGTTAAATGTTAATGGACAACCCCTTAACTTTTTTCAGCCTGGTTTTTATTCACCAGGAAAGAAAAGATCTGATAAAAGGAATGTCACTGCTTTTTTCAACAAAAACAAAGCAAATGTGAGTGTTAATGCTGTTTGCAATATTCTTTAGTTTAAACACTGTAGAAATTAGTTTCCAGGCTGTAGAAAATGATAGCGTAAAAGTAAAAAGTATTGGGGGAAAAAAAAAAAAGTAACTTATTACTATCCGTGGGAAGTAGAAGGGTTTCTATTTAACAATATTAGCAATAAAAACTTATATCAAATTAGAATTCTACACGTTAATATTCGAAGCAATTTTGAAAAACTTCAAAATTTACTTAAAGAAACAAAAAACACTTTTAATATAATTTGTTTAACTGAAACTTGGGCTACTGCCAACGATTTAATTAATGAATCTAATTTTCATCTTCCTCATTTTGAAATAATCTCACTTGAAAGGCAAACTAATAAGCGCGGTGGCGGAATTCTAATTTACGTTCATGAAAATATTAGGCATTGTTTTAGATCTTAGTATTTCTAACGGTGATGGAGAACTTTTAACCATTGAAGTAATAATTGAACATACAAAAAACATTCTTCTAAGCTGCTGTTATCGACCACCTGATGGTGTGGCCGAAAACTTTTTTTTTTTTTTTTTTTTTAAATTTTGCTTACATTAAAATGTCAAAGTACAATTATATATTGTATGCCATATATATCGTGTTACAATTAAATTCGTGTTACAACATTTATCAACTAAATTAAAATAAGAAAAAACACGGACATACATATATAAATATAAGCATATATACACATACAAATGCGTAGATGCGCACATACATAAACTGCTTACAATGAAACATAAGCTAATAAACATAAACTTGAGCATGTTCTTACTACAAAACGTTTTTAAAGAAGGAAATAATAAAAATAAAAAAAATTTTCTTATTGGAGACTTTAATATGAATTGTTTTATATATAATGATAACAACAAAGTTAGAAACTTTTATGATTCAATTTTTGAGGCTGGAGCTTATCCATTAATAAATCGCCCGACGAGAGTGACAAAATACTCAGCAACTTTACTAGACAGTATCATTACAACAAACATCTTTAATAATGATATAAAAAAAGGAGTTATAAAAACAGATATCTCGGATCACTTTCCTATTTTTCTGACTATACCCACTAACCAAGCAAATGTAAAAAAACCTAACAAAATCTTAACTAAACGTATTTTTAATCAATCAAAAATTGAATTGTTTAAAAACCAACTATCGCTACTTCATTGGAAACATTTAAACTTTAATGATAACGCTAATAATCTTTTTGAAAATTTCTTAAAAACATTTTTTTCGGTTTACGATGCTAACTTTCCTAATGTTACTCATACATCAAAAACTAAAAACATAAATAATCCTTGGGTTACCAAAGGTTTCAAAAAATCATCAAAAACTAAGCAAAAGTTATATATAAAATACCTAAAAACAAAAACTCCTACAAGCGAAAAAAAATACAAAGAATATAAAAATTTATTTGAAAAAATCCGGAAAAGTTTAAAAAAAAACTACTATTCAAATTTGATTAATGAAACAAAAAATAACGTAAAACGCACTTGGCAAATACTAAAAAAAATAATTGGGAAACAAAAAACATGCTCAAGTTTTTTGCCACACATGCTTAAAATCGATAACAAAATTTTATACAATCCACAAATTATAGCTAATGAGTTTAATAAATATTTTGTTGAAATTGGTCCAACCCTATCAGATAAAATTCCAATTACCAAAACTTCTTTTTATGATTTTTTAGCACCTCTTGATAAAGGCATTTGCTCAGATGAACTATCGTCCGAATTATCCTTTGAAGAGTTTGGAAAAGCTTTTAAAACCTTAAAAAAAAATGAAGCAACTGGGCCTGATGAAATAAACGGAAATATAGTTATAGATTGCTATCAACAAATTAAAAATATTCTTTTTAAAATCTACAAAGCATCCATCCATCAAGGAATTTTCCCTGAGCGCTTAAAAATTGCTAAAATTATTCCAATTCACAAAGAAGGCGAATGATCCAATATCAATAATTATTGCCCCATCTCTATCCTATCTGTATTCTACAAAATCCTAGAAAGAATTATGTTTAACAGAGTTAATAAATATTTTAATTACAATACTATACAATAATCAATTCGGTTTCAAAAAAGATAGTTCAACTGAGCATGCCATTATTCAATTTGTACGCAACATCTCCAAATCCTTTGAAAAAGCTCAATATACATTAGGTATTTTTATAGATCTATCAAAAGCATTTGATACAGTTGACCATAATATTTTAATACAAAAAATGAAATATTACGGTTTAAACAATAATACTTTAGCGTGGTTTAAAAACTATTTAACAAATCGTAAGCAAGTAGTCTATAGTAATAATGACGTTCAAAGTGGATCCTTAAATATAACCTGTGGTGTTCCACAAGGTTCTATTCTTGGACCGCTGCTATTTCTTATATATGTCAATGATCTAAACAAAGCCTCTAACCTGATGAGTATTATTTATGCCGATGACACTAACTTATTTCAATCCCACACTGATGTTTACAAACTTTTCTCAATAACTAATAATGAACTTATAAACATCTCTAAATGGTTTAAATGTAATAAATTAACGTTAAATACTAACAAGACTAAATGGATTCTTTTTCATTCCTTCTCAAAAAAACGTTCTTTACCAGATATTATGCCTCAAATTTATATTGATGAAACTCTAATAAAAAGAGATTCTGTTATAAGATTCCTAGGTATTTATCTTGATGATAATATTACTTGGAAAAACCATATTAATCATATAACCACCAAGGTATTTAAAAATATTGGCATTTTGTATAAAGCCCGACCTTACTTAAGCAAAAAAAGCCTTACGCAGCTCTATTACTCATTCATACACAGCTATATAAACTACGCAAATATTGCATGGGGTAGTACCAAAAAAAGTAAACTACAACGTCTATATCGCCAACAGAAACATGCGATTCGCGTGATTAATTATGTGGATCGCTCTACACATTCAAAACCTTTCTTTGATGAAATGAAAATACTAAATGTCTACAAACTTAATGTTTTCAATGTTTTATGTTTTACTTGGAAAAACAATTTATCCCTACCTGTTTTTAACGACCTTTTTACATTAAAACTTACTAATAATTACTCACTAAGAAATAAAGATTTGCTAAATGAACCATTTTGTAGAACAAATTTTAATAAACTTTGTATTAATTATTGAGCACCTTACCTTTGGAATAAAATAGTTCTGCCTAATTTTGATCCTTTTATCCGTTTTTCTGTTTTTAAAAATGAATTAAAAATTTTTTTCTTGCTATGGATGACATTTTAAGTTACTATTAGCTTGAAGTATAAACTTGATTTATGAGATTTATAATAATACTTATATTAATAAATTTATTTTCTTTAATTTATAACAGATCTATAAAATTTATTATTATGGATTTTTATAACAGATTTGTGAGAATTATTATCACAGATACGTGATTAATATTATGAATTTATTATTATATATTTATTATTACGGCCGTTTTTGGATTTATTTTTTCAGTTTTTATAGTATGATAAATTTGTAAAGGTTCTGATGATAAGATCAGTTGATCTTCTTTCAGAAGCCTTGTTTTCTTTGTTCTTGTAAAATATAGTATTTATTTTACGGCAAATGTAAACAGAAAAAAAACAAAAAACAAAAAAAAAACAAAAAAAAAAACTGCATGCTTGTGTGCAAAAAAATTTTTTTCATTTCAATATTAATTTCATTTATTATGTTTGTTAAACATTTTAGGATTTTTTAGAATCGTTCTTTACACTGCAGTTTTTTGGAATCGTTTAATAAATGGTTTATTACAGTTATATAATGTAAAACTGTAAAATATATATAATATAATATACATACGTATTAGATGGTTTATTACAGTTATACGTACGTATGAAGTGTTCTTTAATTTTTTTTCCTCGATGCCAATCAAAGTTTTCAATGCCCGTATTGATTTAGGATATTTCATGTAATTTTATTTTTTATTTATATATATTTTTTTCATTACTGTAAAAAGATTTTTTATTTTTTGCTTAGTTTTTACTTACATATTGGGCATTTGCAGCGCTTTGTAAAAGATAAAAGAAAAAAAATGAAAGTTATAATATTTAAACCCATAACTTAATTATATTAATGCCATATTTATATTGATTTGATGGGAAAATCAAATATAGCGTCGGCTATACACGATTTACTTAACGAGTTAATAAATCTGATAGTTAGATTTAGTACCCGTAAGTAAAATGCTTAACTATTTTTGAGTGTAGTTTTAAATAAACAAATTTAAAAATTAAAATTATTGTTTGTTATATACTGCATTTATAAAATAACATCTGCAGGTTACATATTACTAATCGTGTGATACAAACAAAATCTAGACTGATTACTCTTTACGATACGTGGTTTTGAATAACGGTGTTTAACGTACTTAGTGTCAAAAAATGGTGATAATAGGTTTTAGATTTTTGTTTTCTTTTTAAATTCATTCGGGTATCAGAGATTACCAACATTAACCAAGCAAAAATTAGAAAATTATTTTATATCTGGAAAAAAAAATTGTTTACTAATTTATTTATTTCTTCACTTACGTTCTTAGATCAATATAATAATGAAAATGTCTAATGAAGAGAACCCTTCGAGTAAAGTAAATGAAAACATGTTGGATGCAATAAATGAAAGTACACAAAAAGACTTTGAAGCTAGTTTTAGAATGTGTTCTGAAGAAGAAGTATCAAAAAATTTAGTTTTTGAAAAAGATGATTATAATTTAGCCAATGAAGAAATTGAAAAAGACTTTGATTTTGGAAGTGCTAGCAGCAGAAGAGAATCTGATGGAGATTCTTGGGAGACTGTCTCAGAAGAAATGAGAGCAGAAGCTAGCTCTCATCAAGCTGATGGAAATTGTTTATGTCAGACATGTGAAATGAAATCACTTAGCATATCAAATAGAATTACACAAAGAAGTCTTTACTCCAAAGAGTCTTTACCTGAAAATGTTAGTAAAATTGTGTCTAGTAGTGGAACAATAATATATATTATAGGAACAGCTCATTTTAGTAAAGCTAGTCAAGAAGACGTGGCAAAAACTATACAGTTGTTGTCTCCTGATATAGTTATGATAGAACTTTGTTCTAGTCGTATTGGTGTATTAAAATTAGATGAGGAAGCTCTTTTGGAAGCAGCAAAAGATGTGAGCTTGTCCAAGTTAAAAATGGCGATTAAGGATAGTGGTAGTGTATTGAGTGGAATAATGCAGTTACTTCTTTTGAGTATGTCAGCACACATTACTAAACAGTTAGGGATGGCACCTGGTGGAGAATTTCGAGTTGCGACAAATCAAGCTAAACAGATACCTGGATGTAGAATTGTTTTAGGAGATCGACCAATTCAAGCAACACTTGGCCGTGCTATGGCTTCTCTTTCAATTTTTCAAAAAATTAAACTTGGATGGCATTTAATTTTTTCAAAAGGTACTATTACTAAAGAAGATGTAGAGAAATACAAACAAAAAGACATGATAGCAGAAATGCTAGCAGAAATGACAGGTGACTTTCCTGAATTATCTAAAGTATTTGTTGATGAACGTGATCTTTATATGGCGCACATGCTTGAGCAATGTGGAAACATGGTGAGAAATGATATTCCTTCATCTCTTTATCTAAATAATGCTGAAACACATACTTATAAAAATAGTGAGGAGAAATCCAACAATGGTAAAAAATTGGAAGATAATAGTGATGACGATTATAATAATGATGAAGATGAAGTTAAGGGACTTGCTAATGATTTTGATTACTCAGAATACCAACCTGTAGTGCTTGGTGTTGTCGGTATTGGACATATAAATGGCATTATTGCTAATATAGGAAAAAGTTGTGATGTAAATGAATTACTTCATGTGCCCCCTCCTTCTTTTTCTAGTAAAGCTGTTAAAATGGTATTTAAAGCAGCTATTGTTGCATTTATAAGTTGGAGTGCATACTCAGTTATTAGTTGGGTGCGTAAAAAATAAAAATGAAAAGAACTATGATTATTTATTTGTAGCTGATTTACAAAGTTATTTAGAAAATCTGAGTTTTGTCATTGTGAACATTTTTAATTATAAAAATACCATTTTTAAAAATTTCTAATAAAATATTTAAAACTGAAAATGATCTTTTTATAATTTTATCTTAATGATCTTAAAGCTTTGATATTTTATTGTTTTTGTTTTTTCTTTACAATTATTCATTTATAAATGTTTCAATTTTAAAAACTGTTCTCATCATTAATTATATTGTATTTTATTCTTTTTCTCAATATTTTTCAAAATAATTCTTATAATTATGTTTTAATTATAATTTTCAGAAGTAATTATCAGACCTTTGAAAAGCATTTTATAAGATGCAAATTTGTTGTTAATTATTTAAAGTTATAAGATTTTTTTTTTAATATTCTAAATATTTATGTGCATGTTTATAAGTATTTTTCATATTAACTATTTAATTAATCAACTTTTTTTTTAAAGTATTTTATTTTATTCGATAATTTCTAAATATTTTTGTTTGACTCGATTACCAAAGTTATTGATAAACTTTTTTTAGTAACTAGAAATCATCATAAATTTATATCATACAACACCTTTTTGAAATTTCCTTTATATTAATCAAATAAGGTTTTAATAAAAATCTTGAAGTTGGAATAAATTATAAAAGACATTATTAGTTTTAATACTATCATTCAAAATGATTAAAGGCAAAAATTTAATTACCTTATTATTAGAGTTTATTTTATATTAAAAAAACGTAAAAACCTTAGCACTAAAGTTTATTTACATTTAAAAAAGTTCATATTTCTAAAAGTTCAATACTTGTTAAAATATTTCAGATACGTTAAAATTTTTTTAATCTTTAATAAAAAAAAAGTTATGTTTTATATAACATGCTCCATAGTTGTCAGAAAATAATTTTAAAAAATTAAAATCTAGACATTTGTTTTAACAGTGTGGACATAGTACCAAGTTTGTTACTTGGGCATGTTTCTTGCATTTTTATTTTGCATTTTGCTTGAACATGTTACCTCAGGAACTAGCACTCTTCTTTATTTTCAGTAACTTATGTGGTGTCATAAGATTCTGTTTTTGGTCCTTTATTGTTTCTCACCTTTGTTGATAATCTTCCTGACAGTCTTACATCTTAAATGGCCCTTTTTACTGGTGGTACAGTTGTACACTCCTATATTTCTTATTTTTATTACTCAAAGACTACAAAGTTTCATTGTGTATTATATATATATATATATATATATATATATATATATATATATATATATATATATATATATATATATATATATATATATATATATATATATATAATACATATTGAATGCCCCTTTCCACGGTGTCACTGAGTACCGCGGAAGTGCATTTAACCAGGAAGTTCACGCCTCCTTCCTTACCGTGACGCGTTTTGAACCTTGATAATCTGCATATAAAGCAAATGCTCTAACCACTGCGCCACGGCCACAAAAGGTAATGTATATATATATATATATATATATATATATATATATATATATATATATATATATATATATATATATATATATATATATACATTACCTTTATGTATCACTTTGTATACGTTTATTTTTGAGTTTTTACTTTTTAGAACAACTGGGATAAGATTCGTGTATAGTGTTATTTAAATTTTGTAATGGGTGACGTCCATCTTTAAACAAAATTATTGGACTTTGGAAAAGTTTTAAAACAACTCTTGCTATTTGGCACGTCTCTGTTTTGAACAACATCTTACAATCTGAATCCGTTGAAAATCTCTACAATTCAAGCAGTAGAAAACAGCGACAGCAAAAGAAATAAATGCAAATCCTGCACACAAAAAAATGTATTTTCCAAGTATTAATAACACTAAAATCATTTATACTTTGGCATCGGCTAGTGAAACAATGAAAAAGTTACTATACTAGTCAATAGTAAATAGCAATTGTATCTACTATTTCTAGACTCTAATGTTTAAGTTGTTAAAACGAGTAACGTAAAAATGTAAATATTAAAATTGGTTGCAAACATAATTACGATTTTAAACCTATCATAGATTAAAAGGCACATACAACTCACAGTAGTGTTTTGGAATTTGAGGCTTCGATATTGTTAATAAAACATGAACTCAAAATAAAAAAGAGAATTTAGATTTACACTTTATAGCTACTGGAGTATCGCCTTTTTAGATAAAATCAGAGAATGTAAACAAAATTAACAGCATTGACAACCTCTATTTAAAAAATTTAGTTACTTTTCTTAACATATCTGAAGAATGTCAAAAGTCATAAAGAAAATTCAATTTTTGGCAACGAATATATGGAAAAAAACTTGTTTGATAAAACAATAATATTTTTAATTAACAAAATTGCAGAGTTTACAACAACACCTAAAGAAAGCTAAAAACTCTTGCTCTAACTAACTGGTCAATAAAATAAGTTTATGGAGCACAGCATGTAACATTAAAAATGTTAGCATTAAAAAATGGTGTTTTAGCCATTTCTAATCCTAAATTAGGAAAAACTCTTTTTGGTATAACTATTTAGGTCCAAGGACAAATCAAACTCTTTGTAGTGTTGATTAGAGCCGGCCGGTTGGTTTTTAGAGGGCCCTGGTGCAAAATATGTATAAGGAAGGAAGAGGGGGGGGGGCAAAATAATGTTTTCCTTTAAAAAATTATTATTCTTTTTTTTTGAATTTGCCGTCTAAATGAAATAGAATTAATTGAAGGAGGGGAGAAGTGTCACCTCCAACATCAATGGATTTTATCAACTGACAACACCCCCTTTCGCACCAGCCTTGCTTAAAAACCACAAAATTAAGTGTCTGGATTGGTTTGCAGTGATTATAATAAAAGATAAAAAAAACTCATTACATACATTTACAAAATTTCATATTTTTTTATTCTTCCTTCAAAAAATGTGCGTTGCAACCTTTGCACCCCCCTACGGACCGGCCCTGGTGTTAATTATTGGTACAGTAAATACTTAGAAAATAAATAAGTAAAGATATCTATAAGAAATTTAATGAACTGTATTAGTCTTCAAATTTTTTATATTGATTAGATTCACATACTTTAAATGTGTTAATTAGTTATTGAAACCTGTTTAACAATTTACCTTAGTTGAAGAAACTAGTTAGATTATTACCTGGTTCCACATCTTCAAACATTTGTTAAATGGTGTTTTTTTTTTTATTATTTTTATTTTAGGTGCCTCAAGAAGACCCAACAGTCTTGTTAATAATTAAATTAGCTAATCTAATGATTATATTCCACCATTTTTATCAAACTTTGTGTTTTACATCTCAAAAAGTTTCAAAACAAGGAATGGCGTTTTGATGGCCTGCTTTATATTCTAATACAACACTAATGTTATTTTAAGTGAGTAATGATAGTCATCTATTATAGATAATGAAAATATAAGTATAAAGTATATGAATTCACTATACACCTGCTCTGAATATTGACCAACAAATTAGTTCAGTTTTGAAAGGTCTGGTATTGAACAGATGCACATGTGGACATTAACTAGACATTCTTAAACCTGAATACTTAGAGCTATGTTAAAAAACTTTGTTAAAGTTTTTTTAACATAGTAACAGAGCTTTTTAACTGCAACAGTCTTATTCAGACACAAAACTTAGTTGTTAAAATGAATTGTTATTCAGCTGGTAATAAAACTAATTTTATATTTTTTGAGCGAGGTTTTTTGACGTTAGTGGTTGTTAAAAAACAGAAAAAACAGTAGTTTCCTAATTACCTTGTACTATTTAATGCAATAAGAAAAAAGTCATTAAACCATCACAAATAATGAATAAATCTGACATCACGCAACTTATACGTGATCTATAATTAAAACATCGTAAAAGTATTTTTTTGCTCAGTGAATGTCGGCGTGTTCAATCTGTTAAAGAAATATACTATCTATTATTTTGCAAATTTAGTTATCTTTTGTATATAAATAAATTGTCTTTTGGACAAAATTTGCACGTTTCCGAAAATAACGAATTTTAAGAACTTTACTTTACGCATCGATCTTCAAAGAAAACTTCACCCTGAACCACTTTAAATTTAAAAAATATACCTAAACAAACCATCTCCTGCATAATACAGCGTACTGAAAACAGCTCTGATTATAAAAGAGTTAGGTGGAACATAACTGAAAGCAAGTTTTTTTTAAATTACCAATAAGTGCAGAAATACATATATATATATATACATATATATATATATATATATATATATATATATATATATATATATATATATATATATATATATATATATATATACATATATATATATATATATATATATATATATATATATATATATATATATATATATATATATATATATATATATATATATATATATATATATATATATATATATATATATATATATATATATATATATATATATATATATATATATATATATATATATATATATATATATATATATATACAATGCTCGAAGTGAGGCGGGATGCGACGGGATAGCATCCATCACCTTTTTATAAATTATAAACCATCCTGTCACCATTTTATAAACCTCTATAAATAACAATGATTAAGCGGGTTGGTATTTTAAATTAACCAAATATGATCCCGCTACCTTTTTTTCTCCATATACATATATATATATATATATATATATATATATATATATATATATATATATATATATATATATATATATATATATATATATATATATATATATATATATATATATATATGTAGACATGTATGAGAGTATGTAAATTATTCTTTTATAAACATCAATAATTACAATTTTCTCTTGATACTAAATTTATTTTTTAAAAGAAATTTTCGTTTGTCGTGACCTTTGTTTGTTGCGTCTTCAGCGTAAAGGTTTTTTTTTTGTTTTTGGTTTATATATTATTTTTAAAAAAGGGCAATTCTACTTTATGTTAATGGGATGGTTTCGTATATTATCAACTATTTTGTTGAGGGGCACAATGGTGGTACTGTATTTCAAGTGCCTCGCGAACTTTTCGATCAAACTTTTTAGCATCGACTTTTAGAGTTCTGCAACTGTCCCAGTTAATTTGTTGAGTGCAATGTCTCATGTTTGTGGCTAATGCAGATCGTTCTGTTTTATTTCCTATTGTACTGTTTTTGTATTGTTGCATGCATGTTTTTATTTGCATTTCTGTTTCTCCTATATACTTTTTTTACAATGACATTTAATAAGGTAGACTCCTGGGTGACTGTTCATTTGTAGTTTGGATTTATTTCTTGATGTTAATATTGCCTCTAGGTTTGAGTTTGATTTGAAGACCGTTTTATATCCTGCCTTCCCAAACACTTTACGCAATTCGGGAGACAATTTTGGTACTCAAGTTAATGAAATCGTATATATATATATATATATATATATATATATATATATATATATATATATATATATATATATATATATATATATATATATATATATATATATATATATATATATATATATATATATATATATATATATATATATATATATATATATATATATATATATATATATATATATATATATATACATATATATATATTTCTTGAGCAACGTAATAGCAGTAAATATGAACATATTTTAAAGAAAAACACGATATTATTTAATCTTGACATGTTTCGTAGTTAACATACTACATTTTCAAAAGATAAAATTACAATTTAAAACTCTGGATATAAATATAAATTCAAAATTTGAAGACATTACAGAGACATATTAACAGACAAATAGAATTTTTATAAACCAATAAAAATTATAATACAAACTATTATGCCATAATAGCATTAAAAAAAAAAAAACATAAAAGAAACTAGATTGACAAATTTATATTATAATTATTTTTATTATTATTATTATTATTATATTTTCTTTGCCGTATAATTAAATTTACAATGAGAAAAAACCATTCATGTATAAAAATTGGCCGGAGCAAGAAGAAGACATAAACTGTCTTATCGCCAAGCCCCGTTTACATTAACGTCACAAAGTTACAAGTTAAAAACTAAAAGGTTAAAAATTGAAGTACAATACAATATTAGTTCGACAAATATAAGACACAAGTAATAAATCGAATAAATGTTATTTGTCTGTTCAAAATTAATAGTATAAATATTTTTTATTTTAATAAGAAATAAACAAGATACACAAGACAATAGTAAATGAGTAGTGATGACTTTTTCAGGTTTAATTATTTTAAGTGATTTTAGAAGAAATCTTTAAAATCGAAAGTTTTTTCTAATAGAAAACGTTTAGATTCTCTTTTGAATTGTTCTAAGGAGATGCCTCGAAAGAATTTTATTTTTAATTATATTTTTTAAAAAACCTTTCCATATAAATGGTCCCCCGTATTGAATTTGAAATGAATTGAGTTTTAAATAAGATCTTGGAATAACAAAATTATCAGATGAAAATTTAGTGGGATATTTATGAGATATTTCGGTAAAGTAAGACTGAAATATATTAGGAGATATCGCATGTTTTGTTTTAAACGTAAATAGCATAACTTGGTATATATTAAGTTTGTAAATATTAAGCACATTAAGTTTCTTTAAAAGAGATTCACCATTAACAGTTCTGTTAACGCCAAAAATAATCCTACAAGGATGTTTTTGTTTGCTATAAATTTGATATATATCATATATATAATAATGATATATAAAAACAATATATCATATATATAATAATGAACAGTTTCTTTATTTAAAGATGGGTTTTCTCATTTAATATGGAGTGCTTCTTTAATTTTCAATTTGCTTTTGTTAGGAGCAGTATCCAAAATTTTAAAACAATTACAGTTATTTAGATTTTAGATTACAATCAACAAATGAAATTAAATGCTTATAAACATTAGATTGTTTGTCACTTATAAGATGCTCATAAATCCTTGCTTGTCTTTTAAAAGATCCACTTCCTAAGCTGCTCAAATCCAATGTTGTTTACAAATTTTCTTGTGATGGATGTAATGCCAGTTATATTGGAGAAACCTCCAGACACTTAGCAACAAGGATTTATGAGCATCTTGAAAGTGACAAACAATCTAATGTTTATAAGCATTTAATTTTATCTGTTAATTGTGAAAATCTAAGTAACTGTAATTGTTTCAAAATTATGGGTACTGCTCCTAACAAAAGCAAATTGGAAATTAAAGAAGTACTCCATATTAAATGGGGAAACCCATCTTTAAATAAACAAACTGTTCATCATAATATAAATTTGTCAATCTGTTTTTTTTTATGTTTTTTTATGTTTTTTCTTTTTTTTTTTTAATGCTATTACGATATAATACTTTGTATTATAATTTTTATTGGTTTATAACAACTCTATTTGTTCTGTTAATATTTCTCTGTAATGTCTTCAAATTTTGAATTTATATTTATATGCAAATAGTTATAATTTTGCATACAATATAGAAACATAATAAATAAACTGATTTTCAAAATAATTGGCATCAGCTGATGGTTACCAAGATCGATGTCATGATGGTTACATATATCGATATATATATATATATATATATATATATAGGTGTGTGTGTGTGTGTGTGTGTGTGTGTGTATGTGTGTGTGTGTGTGTGTGTGTGTGTGTGTGTGTGTGTGTGTGTGTGTGTGTGTGTGTGATATATATATATATATATATATATATATATATATATATTATATATATATACGTATATATATATATATACATATATATATATATATATATATATATATATATATATATATATATATATATATATATATATATATATATATATATATATATATATATATATATATATATATATATATATTGCGTAAGTGGGTGTTTGGGTGTACGTGTAAATTTTTATATTTAAAAATATGTGAATTTCGGAAAAATGAATGCAAAAGGGTCCAAAAAAAACCTAGTTTTTATATAAATATTTAAATGGCTAACCTTTAAAAACGAACCTAATGAAAGATTGTCGTACTGTTCAACTAAATTGTTTCATGGTCGCTATTTATAAAAAAATAGCGATAGCAAAGAGATGAAATACGACTATTTTTAAACTTCTATGAAAATGAATAAAAAACAAATGGGTTTGTTAAAATATCAGCTCAGCTTTACGTTTTAACTTTTAAAAAATAAATAAAAAGTTATTCTTTTTCTGATTGTTATTGAAGTCTTTATATAACTATTATTTTAAAAAAATATTTTTTTAAAAAGCAATATACTTGCATTGATGTTTTATAAAATATTTTTTAAAAAACAATATATTTGCATTGATGTTTTACAATATAACATAGTTTTTTAACAGAAAATATGAGTGACACGGACTTTTTTGGACTTGTCTGGAGACCATGGCATTGTATGTAATTCAAATTTACACTCTTTAACTGAACCTCCTTCTTTAGTTAAACATTCATTAACTTTCTTTCGGTCATTTGCATCTGTATTCGGGCACCATGTTTCGACCATTTTTACGTAAATGTAGTAGTAGTTTCCAAGTTGCCCTGTTGTTACATGACGATTACCTTTTAGAATTGAATCCAATACCAACCTTTATCAAAAAATTTTATTAAAACTTTTTTTTATCAAAAAATGCATAATTTATTACATATATGACACATTTAAGTTTCACCAGAAATATTGGAACATAAACTCTAAAAAAAAAAGAGTAAAAATTTCTGCCTTAGTGTAGGATATGTGATATACCCTTAGTGAGGTACATTTTTTATCTTTTAAATTACAAAATAATACCTTTTTTAATTACAGTTTTTATACTTCAGAAAGTTGGAATTTATAGCTTACTAAAGATATATAACATATCCTACCCTAATGTAGACAGTTTTTTTTTAGAGTGTATAAACATTTAATATAAATGTTTGTATGTATATGACATATGTGACATTTATCCGCTTATGTATTTAATATATATGATATCAATCCATTTATGTATATGACATATGTGACAATGATCCATTTAATAAGTTAATTTACAGCGTATAGTACAAGCGTATAGTAGTTAATTTGCAAGTTAGAGCGTCAAAACTTAATAGTCTAAATAATAATTTAAATTAATACACCAAAATTTATAATAGTTAATTAAAGTTGATTGCTAACAACCAACGGATACTCTAATAATTAGAAAATGAAGTTTTTGAATTCAATCAAGATAATTTTTTATTATTTTCTTACATTAAATCAATCTGGTTCATTAAAAATTTAGGGCTTCTAAAATCAGTACGTCATTTCAAAAGGGCTTCTAAATTCATTTCTTCATTGCGAAAACATAATTATAACTAAAGCATTTTTATTTACCTAATGATTCCTAAATGCAAATAACTCTACAAACTCAATTTAAAATTACAGAGTTTTGAATAATTTTTATATTCCATTATTAGACAATGAACAATTTCTAAACTTTTTTTAAAAATCAATTAGTTTTTTAACCTACTAATTATTAAATCTGTACATTTTTTAACGTAATTGTTCTGCATTAAATCTGCATTAACCATAAAGCTTAGCCTAAACTATTTTAAATGTTAAGTTTTTTAGTAATTAAATATAGATATAAATTTTAATGGTTAATTAAGGGTTTTGTAATACCTGTATTGATTTTCTCTTCTATCGTGTCGTGAATTTAGTTTATCCACTGCCATATCAATACCTTCTAAAACATATTCAGCCCTATTTATTTCATCCATAGACATGTTAAAAATATTGGCATAAGAAAAGGCACATAACGCAAAAAATATTGCGAGAGAATACATTTTTGTAAAAATGTCGAGTCTTTGAAAACAACAGGTACAAAAAATAACTGTTTTTCTTTTTATAGTTTTCAAAGCATAAAACAAACAAATTATTTTTTTAGCTGTAATCCAGTTTTATTGTTCTTTAAAATGGTAGGCGTGTCGTTTGACATACATTCAATACAGGTGCCAAAACAAACTTTTGAGTTATATATGCATTATTGAACAAGCAATAAAATGTTGATGCCACCACATTTTCAGATATAAAAAAAAATAAATAATGATATTTTTATATATTATTGGTCAGACGTGGTTTTATTTTTAACGGTTAAATATTTATTAACAACTATTAATCATAAAATGTCAAAAATAAAAAACGATTTTTTAAATAATTTATGAAATATTAAACAAATGTATGTATTTACAGTGCAGGAAAAAAGTTTGAGTACACAATAATGCTAGCAAATCAATTTATTTAAGAATCACACGTACGCACGTTTTAAATTCAACATAATCTCATTGTACTGAATCTTATTATAATGGTATATTACTTAAAAAATTTATATTTTGCATGTTATCCTTTATTTTAAATGATATTGCTAATTCTTTTTTGCATCAATCGACATAGTATTTGACAGAAATTTGGAGTAATGTTTATTTCCGATACGGTTTTGCTTTTACCTTTCAGGTCTTTTAACTATGTAGATTTTATTTTAGCAAAATATTTCTTTAAGGCAACCCAGCAATTTATAATCGGGTTCAGATTGTGAAAGTTGCATAGTCAAGGTTCAAAAATCTTTTAAGGAGATTGCATTAGCCATGCATGAACTGATTTAACATTGTGGCAAGGGACGTCGTCTTGTTAAAAATAACAAGTATAATTTCTTGATAAAACTTGCCATAAATAGTAGTTCTCTTTTGCATAAGCCATAAGTCTGCAGGACCTGAGGATGATGAGGCTGCCCAAATCATTACTATTTTATATTGCTTTACTGTTGCTTCACTGTGTGAAATACATGTTTAAAATTACAAGGTTGGTCTGGTGTGGCGCCATACTTTTTAAACTCACTGGTGGAATTGGATAATAGTACTTTCATTTTAAAATATAACCCTGTTCCATACATTACTTGTTTATTATTTGTACGTAAGAAAAACGCAAGACAATCTTTGATATTCTTTGCTAATAATAATGACTTTTTAGCAGACCGAACATTTTTAAGACTACCTACAGACAATCTATGACAACCTACAGACAATCTATGTCAACCTACAGACAATCTATGACAACCTACAGACAACGATGAACAGTTTTATTACTTTTATTAATCGTTGTTTAATAAACACACTGAAGAAACAAGAAATTTCAATAGATTTATTATAAACCAATATTAAACAAGATATCAAATAACTTTAGATAAAATAAACAACATATCAAACAAATTTAAAGTAATAAATGACAAATAAGATTATAATATTGTGAGCTTAAACTATTGACATTTAGGTGAAATTGTTTTTATTTATTTCAAATGATTGTCAAAGCATGTAAAGTGAACATAAATAACTGAAACACAAAACAAAACAAACAAACAAACAAAAATAATTCAAATAAAACACGAATTTGTTTAAACAAAAAAGTATTTTAAGTACTTTCAATAGCTTAAACAAACATTGGTAACCTTTTTTTTTTAACATTTAGTTAAGGTAAGGCAAGTTGTATACAACTTACCTTACTTTAACTAAATGTAATTTGCACTAAATCTAACATTTAATGTGATAATATACATGTAATGATTTATTAAACAGATCAAAGTTTAATACAACATTTATGTATGTATGTATGTATGTATGTATGTGTGTATGTATGTACGTATGTATGTATGTATGTATGTATGTATGTATGTATGTATGTATGTATGTATGTATGTATGTATGTATGTATGTATGTATGTATGTATGTATGTATGTATGTATGTATGTATGTATGTATGTATGTATGTATGTATGTATGTATGTATGTATGTATGTATGTATGTATGTATGTATGTATGTATGTATGTATGTATGTATGTATGTATGTATGTATGTATGTATGTATGTATGTATGTATGTATGCATGTATGTATGTAAGTTAATGAGTTGCGCGATTACATGGTTCTTGTCGTCAGAACATTTAATTAGTCAAAATAAGCATTCACCATAAATAAAGATTTAAAAACAACTCAACAAAAAAATATACAAAACTATAAAGTTTACAGACTATACAACATAAGCATGAGTAAACATTTTATAAACGTCAACAAGTATATAACAAATTTAAAGTTAAGTTAATGATTGATAAATTTATACTGGTAATAAAAACTCAATATATTGCCTAATGAATAAAGTAAATTTTTGTAGTTTATTTTTTAAATAGAAAGAAGCAATAAAATAGATCAAAATTTGCCAAAATAATTTTATCTCAAAGGTGTTGTGGCCAAAAAAAAGGTGACACGTGATTTCAAAGATGATGTGATGCCAGTGTAGTAGTGCACAATAGGCAATACAAAGTTGATTAAAGTTTGTTTGATAAAGAGATTTATATATAAAAAAAAAGGTATTTTTTAACTGTGTTTTTTGATAATAAATATATTTGGAGAAATACTAGGGACACTAGTGACTAGGAAACTAAGTTTAAAAGGGGGTTTTTAAAAATAGGTTTTAAAAGAATCATCAAAAGCAATTATAACACATTGTAGCTCTTATAGTTTTAAATTATCACTTGCAAGGACCTATAACCATATTTTGAAATTTCGTAAACCGTCGATTATGACGTTTTTGATTTTCAACCAACAATATTTGATTTTTTAATTAAACCTAATTAAAACATGTACTACTAATTCTCCGACCTACTAAATTGTCGACCTAATGTATTTTTGACCTAAACCTGCTGAATTTTCAACCTACTGTATTTTTTCCGGTATGTATTTTGTACATTTTGTTGTTGATTTGAATACAAGCCAAATTTGATCAGCGTTGGCGTAGTGGTTGAAGCGCTGTCTTCAAAATCAGGAGATATAAGGTTCAATGATTCATCGGAAAACTTATTTATTCTTAATTAAAAAATAATAAAATTTGTTAAAAAAACAGACCAGATAATCGGTTGAAAATTAATTTAGCTCAAATCGGTTTAAAATGAAAATCTATAAAATAGATCGAAAAATAAATCGATCAAAAACGAATACGTCATAAATCAGTTAAAAATAAAAAAGACTATAATCGGTTGAAAACAATTTAGGACTCAGTAGGTTGTCTAAAAATTAGTTCCACTTTTTAGCAGATATTGTTTTTGTAGAACAATTTAGTACGTCGAGATTTTTGTAGGTCTAACAATCTGACACAAATTACAATAACGTCAAAAGGCCCCAGGTAATGATGGCAATCTCTGGCAATGTTGTGCTTTATATTTTTTCTGTAATAAGAAAGCCTATTTTTAATATCTTCAGCTCTTCAATCAAAAACGGAATTGTCCCAGACAAATTAAAAATAGCAAAAATTGTACCTATATTTAAAGGTGGAGATACATCTGCAATTAGCAATTATAGACCAATCTCAATTCTTCCTATATTTTCCAAACTCCTTGAAAGAATAATTTACAACAGACTGTATAAATATTTAATTGAACACAAAATCTTAAGTGAAAATCAATACGGGTTTCAAACGCAACATTCAACAGAACATGCTATCCTAGATCTCATTAATAACATTACAACTTCCTTTAATCATAGGAAATTTGTATTAGGAGTCTTTATTGATCTTACAAAGGCGTTTGACACAGTAGACCACACAATACTACTAAGAAAAATGGAAAAATATGGCATAAAAAATCAAACTATAAAATGGTTCGCCAACTACCTAGACAACAGACAACAATGTGTTACCATAGATCACTATAACAACTCGAAACAACTAAAAATCAAATGTTGGGTTCCTCAAGGATCTATTCTAGCTCCTCTTCTATTTTTAATTTATGTCAACAACCTCCCTAAAGTCTTATCTAAGTGAGATTCCATAATTTTTGCAGACGACACTAATCTGTTTTATTCTTCTAGCACAATCAGTGACTCTTTATAAACGCAAACTTAGAACTTATTAAACTTAACACATAGTTCAGAGCTAACAAATTGTCATTAAACTTAAACAAAACTAAATACATCTTATTTCACCCCAACCAAAAAAAAGGCTATCCCACCAATTTTACCAACTCTTAGTATAGACAACACAATTATTGAACGAACTCAATCATCTAAATTTCTTGGTGTGCTTCTTGACGAGAAATTATCTTGGAACTCTCACATAAATACCTTTAATACAAAAGTCTCAAAAAACATTGGTCTACTCTATAAAGCAAGAAATTATTTATCGTTCGAAAATTTAAAACTTCTTTATTTTTCCTTTATACACAGCTATCTATCATATGCCAATATAGCATGGGCAAGTACCCATAAAACTAAATTAAGTTCACTCTATAGACGACAGAAACTCGCCTCAAGAATTATTTTTTATAAAAACAAACTTACTCATGCAAACCCATTACTAAAACAGTTGAATGTTTTAAACATTTACCAAATTAATATATATCAAAATATTTTGTTTATGTTCAAACATAAAATGGGAATTATTCCAAGTCGATTTATGAATAACTTCTTTAAAACTAATATAAACAAATGTAGCACTAGAGCAACTGGAAACTATATAGTACCCTTTAAAGAAAGAAAACTGTCTCAATTCTCAATAGCATATCGTGGTCCTTACTTGTATAACAAACTAATACCAAAAAATTCCTCAATATCTCTCCTGAAAAATATAAATTCCTTAAAATCTTATCTTAAAAAACTCGTCTTAAATACAAGCAGTTATATGGAAATTTTCTAATAACTTATGAGTAGTTAAAATATCAAAATCATGTACAAAAAAAAAAAAATTAAAATAAAAATTAACAATAAACTTTGTGTTTCAGGAATTAGTCAAAATGTACAATAATCTTCCTAACTCAGAAGCAGTAGATCAAGAGTTAGTAAAGTATAA